GCATTCAGTGCATACCTTCTAGACTTTAGCTGTGCATACAGATTCTTCCAACGAAAACGGGATTGATTATCAGACTTGCTGTGTGTAACCTTTCCCCACTTAATGTAGGTGGGCCATTTGCATAACCATCTGCACCAGCATCCTTTCTGGCTGCATACACAGCATTTCACGCACGAGGGTGCCCCTACACGACTCACTCACTTGTTATTATCTCCTACTCTTGGGTACTTACGTCTCTTGAAATTGTGTTCATGTTATAATCAATGCTGAAGTAGACACCCTTGTACACATCTGTGCTCACTTGTCCAGTTATTTTCTTTGGTTAAACCCAGTAAGTGGTTTTGTGGATAACGGCATTTATGTTTTTAAGGATTCTGATGCGTATCACCAAACTGCCTTGGAGAAAGAATTTCCACCTGATTGTAACCTCCTCCTCACCCCACACAACACCTGTGAACACCTGTGTCCCTGCCTTTCACCATCATGGCTCACAGCAATCCCTTCAATCTGTGCCATAAGCACACAGCGGAATTTCACTCTTCACATTTGTGTTTCTCTGTTACCAGTGGACCTGAACACTGGTTTCATCTGTTCCCTGGCTATTTCTACTTCTTCTCTATAGACTTTCTTGTTTATGTTCTTAGTTTATTTTTCTATTGAGGTAAAATAAATGTAGTGTTTTCTCAAAGCACCTAAATAATCAAAGAACATGCAAAAGAAATGTAAAACACACGTTATCTGCTTAGTATAACTGTTCTAATCTCTGGAACAACCCTGCAGGGGGCGGAGGCGGGGCGGGCCGGCTAGCAGGGACAAGGGGGAGGGGTCACATATAATAACTAGAGGACCTACCCCTGGGGATGGGTGCCAGACAGCAACTCGGAAACACTGACAATGAGAAGTGAAAAAGCAAGAACGTACAGCCTCTTCTGTGGGGGGCGGGGCGGAGGCAGGTTTGTAGTTATGAACATGGGAGACAGACAACTGGATACCTATTTTGCCTCACCTCTTGTAGAATAATATACACACAACTTGTAGAAAATAAAATTAAAAAATAGGAAGAAACTGGAAGGAAATGCTAAAATACAAAAACAACTTATTACAGGCATGGGATCACAGATGAATCTGTGAGATGTGGGACCGCTGATGATTCTGCCTTCACTCTATTTCCTAAATGTCGTGAAACGCGGGCGCAGCCATACCCGGGTCTCCAAGTTCACGTTCGCCGTTTTCCCGTCCACGGTGACACTGAGCAGGGCGCCGTCTTTCACACTCACACAGTCTTCTCCAAATATGTCCCTGAAGGGAGAGGCACAGGGTTAGTGCAGATGCATGTATAATATGTGAGCACAGGTTTATATATTTGGGGGGAGTAAAACTGAAGCGAGGCCGCAGTGTTGAAGTAGAACACTTATATCTATAATCCTGAGATACTTATTAGTTACCTTCTATATTTCATTAATGTAATAAAACAGGTGAAACGCACAGCTACCACTTATTAAGAATGCTCTATTCCAGCAGGCACTGTGCTAGGCACTTACATACATGATCTCGACCTGTAAGAATGCTGGTGAGAAGCCCTTTACACATGGAGTTAACAGGATGTGTTCAGGTGACTGGCCTACAGCCCCCAGTGGAGCCGGGATCCAGACCCCGGCCTCTCGGCTGAAATGGCTCCCAGTCCACTGGCTGCTCCTTCTAGTCACCTCTGGGCGCCTCCTGAGCTGGACTCTCACACTGGCATCTCCTGGGCAGGCGCTGCCTGTGCCCTGGGAGCCAGCCAGTCACTAACGGCCGCTTTTGTCCCCGTGGGTGACACAGGCGTTTGCAAACAGCAGGCCAACCAGCCGGTGGGTCAGGTGAGGAGAGTCAGTGAAGCTGCAAAACCCAGACGCCAGCCCAGTCAGCACTGCCCACGGGCATTCAGCTGGCAGGGCGGGCCCCCCGGCTGCCTGAGCGTCCAGCCGTTAATGTTAAAAAAGGTTTCATTCAAGGCATCAGTTGGTGGTTTGTGTAAGAGCAGCCAGTGCATCCATCCCACAAACCCTGAGGCTGTCAGCACCGGCATGACCGCTGCATGTACACGGCGCTGAAGCACAGGCCTTCCCTCAGTCCTGGGGCGGCTGAGCCGGGCGTGGCTCCCGTTCCTGTTTCTGACACTCAGGTGTGTGTGTGGGGGCGGGGGAGGGGGGGTTGGCAGGGCCCGGGGGGAAGGTGGGGTGGGTCAGCACCCGAGACTGGAGTCTGGCTTTGAAGGAAGGGCTGCACCACGTGTCCGTCCCCGACAGAGGGGAGCTTGGCTATCCCACAGCCGTAGCCCAGGCTGCTCGGTTCCCGTCCCGGACAGGCGGGAGCCGACAGTGAGTTCCACAAAAGGGCTTCTGAGCCGGGTCCGAGCGCGGCTTCGGGGGACCGGAGCCCACCCCCTCCCCGCCTGGGGCGAGAGCCCACTCACTGGAGCATGACCTCCAACCTCTTGCTGTACACGTGCATCTCCAACTTCTTAGACGCCTTCTGCACGGCACCTGGGAGAGAAGCGAGCGTTTGTGTCCACATTCCCATGTGGACGAATTTCCAATCAACACTGAGAAGTCAGCGACTGACTGTGGATCCTCCACGTGACCAGCGTCCACGTGTCACCTCCCTGTGGAGGCAGCCCGATTCTTTATCCCTTCACTGCATGTTCTGCGAAGGAGCCACAGAAACGGGAGTGAGGGAGTGAGGGAGATGGCAGCTCAGCCCTCGGCACTCCTTGGTCTTAGCTACACCGCACGCAAAGTCAACCCTCTACTCTATAGACTGCACCTGTAACCTATAATAACAAAAGCGTAATATGCAAATCGGCAACTGTAATCTATAATAACAAAAGCGTAATATGCAAATCGACCAAACGGCCGCACCACCAACCGGACAACCTTCCAGACGAAGCCAGGGTGGAGAGGGCCTACTCTTGCACAAATTTCGTGCATCGGGCCTCTCATTGTTTAATAACATTAAAAATTAACTAGAGGCCCGATGCATGAAATTCATGCAAGAGCAGGCCCTCCTTCCTCCGGCCGCCGGCAGGCACCTGGGACCCGGGCTTTCCTCGCAGCCCCCACTTCGTCCTGAAGGTCATCCGGAAGGATGTCTGGCCTAATTAGCATATTACACTTTTATTATTTATTATAGATTATACTTATCACTTGCCAGTGAGATGACTTAGGTTTCCCCCAAAACAAAGTAACCTGGCAGGTTAGGAAGGTGAGCCACCTGCCCTGGTTTCGAGGGTGCCCTGGCTCACACTAGTACTGCCCAGCCATCACCAGCAGCAAACGGTACGAATGAAACACAGTCAGCACACGACCAGTAACTCTAATGCTAGGCACTGACCCAAGAGCGATAAAAGCCTGTACAGGAATGCTTACGCAGCAGCTTCATCATCGCCAAGCGGCAGAAACAACCCAACGGCCGATCACTGACCGAGGGCAGCCAGTGGTTTCACCCCGTAACTCATGGGAAGAGCCGATGCTAACGTGTCCACACGGACCTCTGCCGATGCCCCGAGGCCAGCCCTCGAAGACACCCTACCGCTCTCAGTGGGAGGTGGACCACCGGGAATATCGACTGTGTTCATCCCACTACCGCGGGTCAGAGTGAAGATGCATTTGCATTCTGGACCAGAGTCTTAAGAGCGATCAATGCCCAAGATGAAGACCACCAGCCCAACCACGGCACCGCCTCTGTTCTTCAGCGCAGTCACCAGGGGGCGCCCCAGCAGCCTCAGGACAGCAGCCTCAGGGCAGCATGTCCGGGCTCCTCCCCCTCAGCAGGAGGAACCCTAGGGGCGAGGACACTGAGCTGAAGACTACCAGCATCTCACTGGCCTGAGAAAATGCCATCTTTGCAGGGAAATTCCATTTTTCAGAAAAGCATACAGATATCGGAAAAAATATCACCATTCTTTCACAAAACAGACTTCATTTACAAAAGGGTTCTCCGACTATAAGAGGCGGAAAGCAACCTTGGAGGACAGAACACAATTCCCTTCGGGAGGCTGGATCTGACAAGAACAGACCGAAGCACAGGAGCCGTGTTCCCAGAGGCCTGGGCGCCGGCACTGAAGGGTGTGCCGCCCGAACCCTGGGCTTCACCCGCCCTCCGGTCCCTGCACTCACCGCCCCATCCTCCCAGCCTTCGCTCCACTAGCTCTTCTGCCCTTTGGAAGGCCACCCGACCTTGCCCTTTGTCCTCTGTATTTTTATCTAAGAGAAGAGAAATGTGAAGTAACAGGAGCCAGCTGGCAGCTGCCTTTCCAGCTGCTCTGTCAGGATGTGCCTGCACCAGGCGGGCAGGGACGGTCACACGCACACGCGGGGCAGCCCGGGGCGGGGGAGTTCTGTGCTGACTGCTCGGCGCCCTCACGGCACAGCACACGGGCACCGTTACCCCTAGTAATTCAACCAAACAAACGACCAAATGGAGCCCTAATTATAATTGTTATGACGACTATTACTCAAAGCAAATGCTTACCGGTAACTTGAACACTTTAGATTTGTTTAGGTATCTGTTTCATAATAAAGATTTGGCTAGTCCCAAGAAGATGATCATGAAGGTCAGCTAAACTTTTTCTCCCGAAATCAGAGAACTGCGACTGCTTCATTTTAATGTTTAGGAAGAGAAGTGCTCCTCAGAGGACAAGGCCTGCTGCACGTGCAGGGGGGCTGGCAGCCCCAGGAGAGCCCCAGCCCCGCCTTCCCCAGCGGCAGGAGGGCTGCCCGATGCCAGCTCCGTCTAAAACAGCCCGAGTGTAGACACAGCGCGGAGATACGCTCACTGCTGTTTCCCGGGTTGAAAACTGCTCCTTGGCCAACGACGGGAGGTTCCGTTCTATTCTACAAGTTTTTGTGAATCACGACACAGCAGCCCGTTTTCCTGTTAGACACGCTGGCTAACGCGATACTGTGAAACTTCCGATTACAGTGTTTTTAAGGGACTGTCACTAAGAGATTTTATCTTAGAGTTAAGTGCCACCAGATTTCACAGCACAAACAAAGACCGGGCACAGACAGCAGGAAAATATTAGTGACATGCACTGTTATGCGTGTATTTAGTGCCGTCAAGGTTACAGGAATGAAAAAACCAGTTCAAGCACCTTAGCATTCTCCTTTCTGCTTTTCAGCTCAAAACACCATAGAAGTGGAAGGATGGCTGATAAAGTGAAGTGGTAGCAGAAAGAAGATGGAGAATTCTGTACCTTTTCTGATTTTCGGGTTTGACTGCACCTCGAGGACCACGGTTGTCACGGTGTCTGCGTACATGTCGTTGGCAGGGTTAGCGAGCCACTGCGGAGCGAAAGGCAGAGTCAGGAGGGCACAGCGGGGCCGACCCTCCATCACAGAACTGCAGAGGGACCAGCGACAGATCTTTTTTATTTGTTTAGAATAATGTGTGAAAGCGAAACAGCTGGCCTGTAGCTGGAAAGCCTGCAAACACTCTACCTACAGCCCCGCGGCAGGGAAACAGCCAAGGGCCGCCCGAGGTCCCTCTGTTCCGGGTTCATTTGAAAAAGAACTGCTTTGGCCTTCGATGCCAACCCATCAAAATCAACCATCAGCGTCATCTGGTGTCTGGGTTCCCGATTCCACCAGCAGGAATTTAAAATCCTACCAGTGGGAACCACATTTACCTAAGTTAGTGCCTTCTCGCCTTTGTGGATTTGGGTCATGTTAATGTTGCGTATTGGAGTGTTCACAGTCCCACTCTCTTAAGATGTGTGCATGACAAGTTTTAATGTAACAGGACGAGACTTTTATCTTGAGAACGTTAAGACCTTCTGATATACCTGAAGACAGCCTGGGATACCATAAGGTCAGCTCCGACTTGATCATATGAGAGATCTGTCACTGTTCACACACACACTAAACATCAAGCCTTAACTGGTGGCTAGTTTCTATGTCACACAGACCACGCCCAGCTATGTTGTATTTAAAGCTAACCTTGTTAAGAACGCTACACTCTCCAATAATCTTTTCCTGATTGGGAAGCTAATTTCTCTACAATTACATGTAAACTCTTTTCTTAAAACGGAATTTATGGGGAGGGAGGGCGTTGGTTAATAAAATTAATAGGTTTCAGGTGCACATTCTATAGCACATGGTCTGTGTACTGTACTGTGTGTTCACCACCCCAAGTCAAGTCTCCACATGTGAGCGCTTAAAACCTCCTCCTCCGTGTTTGGGTAAACAATCTCATCTTACTTCTAACACCACCATTCCTGGTTCCTGTATTACAGTAATATTTTTGAACACTTTCAAAGCAGGTTTTTCTTGAATTTCTAATTCTTCTACATCACCTGAAAGAAAGAATTATAAGATGTACATAATTTCCTGATCATCTGTCAGAGGCATAAGTATTCATTTGTTTATAGAGACAGCTGAAATAAAGCCGATACATAATGAAAAAAATTAATAGTGTATTGGTGTAGTCAGATTGAAATAGCTAAGTTCTGTATTAATTGCTCACAGTAACTGAAAGATCTCAGTATGGATTATAAAAGCCCACAGAGCTAGAACGGATTTACCCTGGACATTAACACTTCACCAGCAGCAAATGTCTATGTTTGTGCAGAGAGCAGCCACTAGCATCGTAACATTTACCACGAGGCTAGTCAACCCCGACAGTCCCGCTACCTTCTGTCTCCACAGGGCAGTTCTATGGCTAAGGTGAGACTTCTGGTTTCCTACTGTGAGGTTCTGAGGTGGAAAGGGTTTCCCTGCGCTACTCTACGGCAGCCCTTTACCACGAGGGATGAGGAACGTGTTAATAGACACGTTCTTGCCTACGAGCGTCTCTTTCCTTTAACTTATTATTGCCCCTCGCTGCTGCTACACAGTCCCTCGCTGACATGGTCTAACAGGAAACAGAACAGGTTTTCCTCTTTCATTGCCTCTGCCCACTGGTCATGCTCTTATCAGACCTGCTGTGTACAGGGCACTAGTGGAACAAGAAACACGATCACTGAACAAAGAAAGAAATAGATAAAATTTGGGTAAGTAAACTAAAGTAGATTTTAAACCCAAGGAGCAGACTACCAATATTTTTAAAACTTTAAGGGGACTGAAGATAAAAGGTATAATGGGCTTTTAAAAAACTGATGAGTAATGAGTACATTTTTAAGCTTCACCTAAATGTGGTATGACAAAGCACAAATAAAATTTGTGCTAATCTGAGACAATTACCAAAATGAAATCATATCCTTTCCTAGATCTATCATTACTTTAAAAAACCAAAAACAAGTGACTGTCAATCAATATACACACCTGTCAGTTTCTGCAGCTGGTAATAGAGCAAATTAAAGGGCCCAGTATAGGGAATGGCTTGGGTCTGCTTCACAGTGCTCATGGCCAGGTCAGTATAATCTGCAGAGGAAATGAGAATAAATACACTTTAAGAAACAATACTAGTCCCACAAATACAATTTGCAAACATCCTAGGAGTAAAGACAAGAGAAGTAAAAGCAACCGAGAGCACGTTCTTCAAGCTACAAGGTTCTCCTTAGTGCGTCCCCGTCCTCACTTCCCTGACCCACTGCTAACCCCCTAAGTTCAGGCTCCAGGCCTAAGAAGGCACCCCACTGTCCTGAACACATCAGGTGCCGACACCTCTCCAAGCCAGCAGACCAGCTGCCCCCACTTCTCGGGCTGGGCGCCTCCTGGCACACAGGCGCCTGACTGGCACAGCCTTTCCCCACGGTCTCCCCACATGCTGGCCGGGCACCTCGGCGTCACTGTCCGACACTGGGACTTGCTCTGGACAAGCGCTTCTCTCCTCGGACAGCGCTTACGGGGCGGGGGTGGTGCTTCTGCGTGAACCTGGGCCCTCCAGCCCCAGCACCGGGCCAGGCACGGGGTAAGAGCTCCCTGACTGCTGGAGGAAGGACGGCCGGACGGCCTGCAAGCTGACCCGGTCCCACCTGCACACAGATTCCTTATCCCCTTATAAAGCGCTTAGAGTTTACACAAGTTTATGAGCAGCTATTCACTTGGACATCATACCACAGTGACTGCAAAAGTCACGCTGGCTTAGCATCTGCACAGGCGCAGGCCACGAAGGCCCAGAAGCAACATAAAACTACAGGCCAGAAAAATCACCGTGCCTGGGTGGGGCCAACATTCCTTCGGAAGAGAAAACTACTGGCTCCGCGGTGGGAGGGGGGAGAGCCCCACCCAGTCAGCAGCAGTCACTCCGTCTTAGAGGCAAACCTACGTCTCCATTAAGGAAAGAGTTGCTTCACTAAGAATTTAAATGTCCACAGTTCAGGGAAGATTTTTATTTTGCCCCATAAAACGAACTGGATTAACTTCCACCTATTTCCATTTTATTATTTGGTTGTTATTTAAAATGCGGCCACCAGGGAAGAGAAGTTTTCATAGACCTTTTCCCCTCAATGCTAAAATCAAACCGTACCTGACATTGGACAGTGCACTTACTGGACAGGTCACAAGGAGAAAGAATGTGATAATTAAAGTTTCTCTTAACAAGGATTCCCGAGACCCGCTGGCCTTGTTCTGGCTTCTTGTCTGCTAAAAAGCCCATGACCTTGGCTAGTTTTTCCCCTCTGAAGTTCAAGGTCACAGCTTCTGTGTTCCGAGGATTATGAACCTCTATGTGAACTTCGTCATTATCTTCATATTCTCGAATCAGGGCTGCTTTCAATCGGGCCATTTCGTTCTGTTCTCCATGGACTAAAATCTACATGAAATGCATGTGAAAGAGCAGAGGGAGAATCCTTAGTCAGATACTACGGCCTTTCTGTGAACATGAGTCAGTTAAACATACCAAGTGGAGAGATTTGACTACGTACAAACTGGCATGCTGATGCTATTGGGGAGGCAGCAGAAAGTAAGAGAAGGAACAGTGGATCTGGGGTTGGTAGGTCTGAGCAGGTGCCCGTGTTGTGGGAAATTAAAGTGCACAGCTTGCCCTAGCCGGTATGGCTCAGTGGATAGTGTCGGCCTATGAACGGAAGGGTGCCCAGGTTCAATTTTGGTCAAGGGCACATGCCTGAGTTGTGGGCTCCATCCCCAGTGGGGGGTGTGCAGGAGGCAGCTAATCGGTGATTCTCTCTCATCATTGATATTTCTATCTCTCCCTCTCCCTTCCTCTCTGAAATCAATAAAAATATATTAAAAAAATAAAATAAAGTGCACAGCTTGTCTACCTCAAAGGGGAGCTGGGAGGATGGGTGCAAGGTGAGTGCAAGCTCGGTTTACTGTGCTGCATGAACAGAAGGCGGGTCTCATTTGAGAACCAGCTGCTGCAAAGTGGGTAGCTTTCCCCTGTAATGCGCTAAATGAACCCACAGACTAACCACGTGAGGCGGTTTCAAAGCGCGGATGAATTCGCTGGTTTGCTGGTAATCTGTGTGAGCGGAGAAAGAAATGTAATCAACAGACATTTTCAATGGAAGCTTCTGTCCAGACATGGTCGTGATCTCTTCAGGTTCAGACATGATGTGCTGTTAAAAACAAAGAAAAAGAAACAAAACAAAATAAACAATCCAATTAGAAAAGGTACATTTTCTACTTTTCATGCAGCCATAAACTCATGCTAAATTTAGGACCTTCAGCACAAAAACTGTTGTAATACTACCAACTTAGTAAATTTCAAATACGTATTTTCTTCATCAAGCAAACATTTAACAGGAAGTTAAGCAGATTAATTAAAATTCAATGTAGCTGGAGTGCTAGATGTGGAAAGGATAGCTCTCAGAATTAGAAAGGAAGCCTGCCTTCTCAGCGCTTCTCTTGCTCTCGAGAGAAGCTTCCCAGCGAAGATGGTTTACATAAAGGATGGATGCATTACTGTTCTGAAAATCTAGTTTTTAAAATATGTTTTTATTGATTTCAGAGAGGAAGGGAGAGGGAGAAAGAAATGGAAACATCAATGATGAGGGAATCATCCATCAGCTGCCTCCTGCACGCCCCCTACTGGGAATCGAACCTGCAACCTGGGGATATGCCCTTGACTGGAATCGACCTGAGACCCTTCAGTTCGCAGGCTGACACTCTATCCCAGGGGTCCTCAAACTACGGCCCGCGGGCCACATGCAAATACAAATATTGTATTTGTTCCCGTTTTGTTTTTTTACTTCAAAATAAGATATGTGCAGTGTGCATAGGAATTTGTTCATAGTTTTTTTTTTAAACTATAGTCCGGCCCTCCAACGGTCTGAGGGACAGTGAACTGGCCCCCTGTTTAAAAAGTTTGAGGACCCCTGCTCTATCCTCTGAGCCAAACTGGCCAGGGCTAAAAATCTATTTTAAATACACAGCTTTCATTGTCTGAATGATTCACAGAATAAGACAAAGTAATAAAAATGAGCAAAACGGAATCAATGTACTTAGGAAATAAAACAGAAGCAAACAGTAAGAGGAAGTGAGAGAACAAGATGCTTGGATGCGCAGAAATTGCCCCTGAAGCCCTGCACACCCGTCTGCATCCCTGAGAGCTCACATCCGTCATGTTATAGCAACAGGAAGCGGGCCATCAGCCCGAACACATGCACAGCCTGTGAGAGGACACCTGTGAGTGAACCGCGTCTCCCTCAGCTACGGGATCCTTGTCTGTCCCAAACGGGTTCCTTTCCACTATTTTACTGCACCAGATGGTGCTCCTGGAGCTTGAAGGTGCCTCCAGCCGCCTGGGGATCAGGTCAGGCCACTCAGCGCCTGGGTTAATTCTCCACCTCACGAACAGCTCCAGCTGACCAGTTCCATCTCATTTAAAAGCATTAAAACCCACACTGAAGAACCGCCTCAGTGGGAAGCCCTGGCGGGCACTGCCCCCTCGGCAGTGTGCTCAGCGGTGACTGACCTTGGCCAGCGTGCCCTCCACACAGTAGCCTGCGATGATGACGCCGTTCCTCTTGTCCGTGCACCAGCTCTCGAAGAGCTCCCTGGACAGGCCGCTCTGCATCATGCCCGGGGAGGCCATCACCACGCTGGGCCCAATGTCGTCAAAATGGTCCATGCTCTGCGAGAGAGAGGGAGGGGAAGAGCATCTACATACCAGGCTTCGACCAAGCTCTCCTTATTTTAATAAATAACAAACAGGTAAAAAAAGGTGATCACATGAGTGAAAGGGTCTTGACAAGACTAATAAACAGTTAGTCCAATTTCTAAGTTCCTAACAGTTCGGACTAGGAATGAAAGACAACAAAGTGCGAAACAGCACTTAGTTCACAATGACCTTCAAAACCTGTGCTGGCAGCTCAAGGGCAACCACGACCTTTCAGCGCCTCAAGGAGGCAGCACGTGAAAGAAGTCAGATGGGCTCTCTTCACCAGAACAGGCTCTGAAGGCCTCCCCAAAGACTCCAGCTCTCAGACCTCATGGATATTTTGAGCTGGCCTAGAAATTAACCCTGTTTCTAGGGAAAACTTGGCTCTAATTACTAAAAAACTAACCTAAAATTTAATGATTCATGAACAGAGCTTATTTATAATTGGAAAGCCACTTATAATCTGAATGACGTGGGATGTTATTTTATGATTAGAGCATTAGTTTGGATGAAACAATATATACACTTTAATGAAAGAAAATTAGATTTTATTGAATGCTCTAGAAAAGTAAACATGAAAATGCTCACATATGGAATTTACAATGCCAATCATCAAAAAGATGATTAGGTTTGAGTAAGAACAGAAAAATGTAATACATAACAACAAGGTATTTGCCTCATCAGGACTTATTTCTGTGACAAAAAGATGCGAGTTACTCAGCAACAGTAAACAGTGACAATGTATGGGGACTTGGAGCAAATGACAAAAAAGAATGCCAGCTGCTAAGTTCCTGATTCCATTCAGAACAGTGACGGCTGCTGGGGAACAGGTAGGACGTGGGCGAGGACTCGGCCAGAATGAAGGCCAGGCCTCTCTGCCCCCGCTGACCTCCTGGTGCGTTAGCCACCCTGTCCGCCCTCCACCAGCTCTCACCTTAAGGTTACTAATGTGCTTGAAAACAAAGGGATTATTGATGTTGATCTGCTTGCGGATTTTGTCGTTCATGGCGTTCACGTATGTCTGGTACACGGCCATACACTTCTTGGCCAAAGATGATGCGTAGTATATTGGAATATCATGGAGCTCCGGGTGGTTCTGCCAGTACTCATCTGGAGAGATTTTATGAGACAAATATCATTTTGTTATGTGGGGTAGATAGTTCAAGTAATAAGTGATCTGTACAATTAATTTAAAAAATTCAGACAATCAAGAAATTAAAGCACATAAGCATGTTTTAAGAGGTCAAGAAGAATTAGCCTGCTCTTACTGAGACACAACGCTTTCAGTTCCTCACAGGATGCTGCAGACATCCAGGGCACTCGTCACGGATGCTGAGGAAGACTGCGTTCCCCAAGGAATCAGAGCGTTTGGCTTTGAAGGGACCATCAAACCCACACATACCCCACAGTGAACCCACTGTGCCTGCCTCACCAGTCACACACGCTCGCGGACGTATTTAGAAAAAGGAGAGAAGCAGACAACGCGCTCTCCAGAGTTAACCTTTCTAGTCGTTTGTGTAACTGGTACCTGCTAGGGTCAGAGTACATACTGGTTTGAACCCTATTATTATTATTATTATTTTTGAAAACCACCTCTTAAAAAAATTTTGATTGATTTCAGAGAGGCAGGGAGGAGGAGAAACAGAAACATCAGTGAGAGAATCACTGACTGGCTGCCCCCTGTATACCCCATACTGGGGATTGAGCTTGCAACCTGGGCATGTGGTCTGACCAGGAATCGAACCGTGACCTCCTGGTTCAGAGGTCGATGCTCAGCCACTGAGCCACGCCGGCCGGCTGCGCTCTAATTTTTGGTCCCCTTATCATATTATGTGAATACATGTAACGTGACTTTTTTTCTATAATGTGGTATTTACTGACATATTCCTTTAAAAGTACTAAAATGATTCCACCCTTACTGACAGGTTTTCTGTGCATCTCATTTACTTTCCAGAAGTGGAACCGGTGGGCCAAAGGGCAGCACATTCTTGCCTTCTGAGGCTGACGGCAACCAGAAAGGCACGCACACCCCTTATGCTCGCAGGAGCGGGCCAGCCACTGTTCCTCTCCGCTAACCCTAACCCCAAACCCTGGCCCCAATCCCTACTTTAAATGCAGAAACGGAGCCCAGAAAAGTAGAATGACCTGTCCAAGGCCAGGCCCTCAGGTTCTGAGAATCTCCCAGTGAAAACGAAAGGCGCACCTAGAATCAGGAGCAGCTCCTGAGCCCGCCCAAGAGCAAAGACAGGGATGAGGCCCCGGCCGCCTCTGTTCACAATATCGTGGACCGTGTTGCAGAACCGCGCCTCTCGCTCTTCCCGCTTCTCGTGGATGTGGGTCCCATACGTTGATTCCTAAGTGACACATCAGACGGATGAGACCAAGACCGACGGTTCCAAAGAATACAAAAGCTAAACATCCATGAGAGGCGAAGCAAAGGGATTCATTTCTCCATTAACATGCCACTTACTTGGACATGTATTGTTATACTACTACTTGAAAGAACAGATAAGAACGTTAGAACTAAGACCTGGCTACATAGTAAAAATTCTTTAAAAAATGGAATCAGAAAATAGTCTAAAAATGTAGGGTAATTCACCTAGACAGAAACATTTAGGCGGTATCTTAGTCTCCCTGACTTTAGACTAGAGCTGATATATTTAACAGCAAGGAAGTGGAGCTTCACTACAAAAAGAAGTCAGAAAATTAAATCTTATACCAAAAAAAGATACATTTCTATCCAACCACATATTATAAAAATTAGATTGCAATATTTCTTCCCCACTAGAAAAAATTCTGCTTACATTATCCTAACTGCAGTCCTGTGCACTAGTACTTACAATGATAAGAATGTCAGGCTTAATATTTGGAATCTCAGCTGCCATTAAGTGTCTGTCTTCTTGTCTTGAGAAGTCACCTGTATACAAAAGCTGTGAAAAAGATAAAGCTAGGTTAGGATTTTGGAAGGTTTCATTTTACTACTAAATACATTTAGCTCCTAAAATCTGAAGTGAAAATAAATAGAACAGCCCACAACGGATAACACTGAGATGCCATGCTGTGTCTAACTGAGTTGGTCATAGACCATCCAGCGTTTCAATTAGTGAATCTAACTAATGGGAATGATCACTCCCAGAATCCTCCCACAAAGAGAACCTGTATCTTAGCAAACTTGAGAAATGCTCCGAACATCTTAGAGAAAAAGGGCAGAATGAGAAAGAAGTCCACTGAGGAATATGGGAAAACCATAAAAAATGGGAGATAAAAATAATTGGAGGGTGTGCATCAAATTTCAAATGAGAATTTAGATCTGCATTTGTGCTATTTTCTGTGCCCTTGAGCAAACAGCAAGAAAAAATAATTTAGAAACATATAGGATAACTCAATGTGTAAAAATTTCAAATACTATATGAGCAGCTGCTGAAAATTCAGGACAATATTACTTTAGAACATTGCTTCTCAACGTTGGCTGCACATAAAGATCACCGAGAAAACTAAAAAAAAGGGGGGGGGGTGAGACCACACCATTTTGATTCAGTGGGTATTTTTCAAAAGCTCCCTAAGTGATTCTCATGTGCAGCCAGAGTTAAGAACCACTGCTAGCCTGGCCGGTGTGGCTCAATGGTGAGCACCAACCCATGCACCAGGTCAGGGTTGGATTCCCAGTCAGGGCACATGCCCAGGTTGTGTGCGCAATCCTCAGTAGGGGGTGTGCTGGAGGCAGCCAATCAATGATTCTCATTGATGTTTCTATCTTTCTTTCCCTCTCCTTTTCTCTGAAATCAATTAAAAAATATTTTGTTTTTTAAAGAAAGAACTGCTGCTCTCACTTCAGTCTCGACACCAACTAGCCACCCACGTTTCCACAAGTTGGAGACTGCCGGGGCTTTCCATGCAGGACGGCTGCGCAGAGCCTGTCCCAGCAGCCCTCACTCCCAGGGCCTGTGTGGGAGCCCTAGACCCGCAGGACACAGAGGGCACGTGCTGCTGCACCTCACGTGCACACAGAGCTCCTCCCAGGCAGTTTCCCAAGGACGCCGAGGAGCTGACCCCCTGGAAGTGGGGGGGAACGTCACGCTCAGCGGCTCATTTCACTCTTTTCTCCCTCTCCCCACAGAGAGTACTGGCCTGGGGGTATGAACTATGACGCTTCAGCGGAAAAAGTATGGACTGAATTTTATCTCAGGTTTCAGGGCTTGGACACTGCGAGTCTCGGGGAATGTTCTTCAGCAGCACCTGGTGGCATCAGGTCTGCGCTGATTTCTTGTGGGGAGGAAGCGGAGAGGGCCGGGGGTACCTTCACGCCCGCGATCTCAATCATGAACATGGCAGCTCCGAGCACGTGGCCCGCGTGGTAACACCAAAACTTGATTCCCGCGACCTCCTTAACTTCATGGAAGTTGATGGTCTCGATTTTGTCCATGCTCTCTTCCAGGTCGGTCTCGGTGTACAGCATGTCGTCCGCCGATATGTTACTACATTTTTATAGATCCAACAACAAGAGTTAAGGGCAAGATTTTTAAAAAGCCTTTGAACTCAAAGAAACTATGGATGACATATCCATGAAGTTATTTCTTCAAATTATGTTGTAGGGATTATATTATCTAGACTGTCTCTGCCATCCTGTGTATATTTTTGCTCTGCAGTTATAATAAAAATTTTAGTGTGTACAACTAGGAAGCACAATTTCAAGCACAGCACACAGTCAACTAAGGCCAAGTCCTTTTTAGGAAAGCACTTCTCAACCTTTGCTCTATCCCACGGCGCCTGAGAGAAACTCACTCACACACACCGACCCAGGACGAGATCCTGACACAGTGACGTGAAAAGATTTCTCTACAAAGTTTAGCGTCCCTTTTCTTCTGAAAATTATGCCAATGAACTTCCAAAACAGCAAGAGAGAGTAGTGGTTAAGGACACAGACTCTGGAGCCAGTCTGCCTGGGTCTCAGTCCCAGCTTTGCCTCTTACTGTGGCCATCGTAGATAAACTACCGAACCCCTCTATGCCGATCACCATACATTTTTCATCTGTAAAATGGGATTCATAACAGAACCTACGCCATGAGGCTCATATGAAGGTTAAATGAGTAACCATGTTAAGAAATGAGGACTGTGCCTGCATGTGGTAAGTAGCATTAAAGTGTTAATTAGTATATTTACTACTAAGGATAACCCTTCCATTCTTTTGTATTTACATATGAAGAATAACAAATGGCACCTTCAACGCTTGGAACACACACATTAAACAGTAAACTTTAGAAGGCTAATCATTTGTGTGTAGGGATCACAAAAATGTCACACTTTCTGATAAAAGAAGTTTTCCTCTTGCAACTGGAAAAAACTTCCCCTGGGAAAATTTTCATTTAAGGTAGTCAATTTGCTTTGATCAAATAATCTAAAATAAGATTGCAGTATATATCACTGTATAACGTATTTGGTGTTAATTAACATTTATAGAATACTGTTGTTATACCTTATAATTCACCTAAATTACAAAGATTTAAAAGAATGTTAGAACTACGTAAGGACTTTAAGGCCAGATGTGCTGGGTACACAATGGGATCTGACGGGTTGTTCCTGAATGACTAAATCAGGGGTCCTCAAACTTTTTAAACAGGGGGCCAGTTCACTGTCCCTCAGACCGTTGGAGGGCCGGACTATAGTTTAAAAAAAAAACTATGAACAAATTCCTATGCACACTGCACAAATCTTATTTTGAAGTAAAAAACAAAACGGGAACAAATACAATATCTGTATTTGCATGTGGCCCGCGGGCCGTAGTTTGAGGACCCCTGCACTAAATTAACGACATCCTGGTGAATAAAAAGTGTCTCGTTTCAAAAACCAAAATGGTCCGTATCTTGAGCCACATGTGTTATATAGAGTCTAACAGAGCCATTTACCTGACTTTGACGTAGTCTGAAAGGAGCCACCTGTAGATAGCTTTAGTAGCGTGAGTCATGAATGTCCTTCCTTTGAAACTCGTCTTCTGTAGAAACCAGGGCAGAGCGCCACAGTGATCCAAATGGAAGCTGAAGAACGAAAGAGATCCTGTCACTTCTTAAAATATTACCCATCACATACACGAATGAAACTGCTGCGGACTCACAGAGAAGTTCCATGTAACAGTCACACACAGAGACTTTAGGGCACCACGGGGAGGGAGAAATAATGCAGCTAGTCCTCATGTCCGAAAAAGATATTAAATGTATTTTCAAACATCAAAATACTTGATCAGTGATAACCAGACCTCCCGCCGGCAGCCGACGTAACAAGCACCGCAGGGCACAGCGCTGACACACAGCGCTGACACGTCGCTGTTTGTGAATGAAGTTCGTATTGGATGCGACAAGACCGTGACCTCAGGAGGCCTGGGGAGGGCTGTACAGCGATGCAAGGCGCACGCTCTCTTCCTCCCTGCTCCAGAGGGAGGGCAGCCTCCCAGTAGCTTCCCTAAGCTGCGGTGACAGCAGAGCGCTGTCTTACACTCAGACGTCTGCAACATGCTTCCTGGTAGGAAAGACTCTTAAACGTCGGAATCTTAGCGTCTGGTAAAGCGTGACTTTTATAGTGAACGTCTATGAGAACGTGTCATTAACAAGGAAAAAACTTACTGACTAATGAGCAGGAGGTCAATCTCCGCCGGGTCAATTAGATCGATGTAAGGAAGAGCGTCCATTCCTTCTAGGCCAGGGTGGATCCCACAGTCCAACTGAAGGAGATAGACAAACAGATGATAATGTCCTCTACATTTTATTAAAATTCATCCGTCGAATAGACAACTGATCCATCACACTCATAACCAAAATGGACCCTATATACTAGCATTTGGGAACATAATTCTTATTAAATACTAGAGGCCCGGAGCAGATTTGTGCACTGCTGGGTCCTTCAGCCTGGCCTGTGCCCTCTTGCAATCTGGGAAACTGGCAGTCGGACATCCCCTGAGGGATGTAGTAGTGCGCAAGCGGCAGGCAGCGGGGAAGGGGCCCCGAGCCTGGGGGCTGCTCCCGCCCATCCGGGCCTGCAGCGCCTGCCTCCACAGCTCGTAGCGCTGCCGCAGAGGCGCTCACCAGCCGTGAGCCCCAAGTCTGGCACCCGTTGGTCAGCTGAGTGGCGCTCCCACTGTGGGAGCACACTGACCACCAGGGGGCAGCTCCTGCATTGAGTGTCTGCCCCCTGGTGGTCAGTGCGCATCATAGCGACTGGTCAAAGGGTCGACCAGTCCTTAGGGTTTTATATAAATAGAAGATGGGAAATATGCTACTACTAAAAGTTCTAACTTCCCATTAAATCGAAAATATAGCTCACATTTAGGGTCACAGGACAAAAAACACAAGACATCCTCTTCCCAACTAGTTTTTATAGTCACTCTAACAGTGAATAAACTCTTTTTTTCAAGAACTTTGATGTCAGAAGATGGTGGGCATTTTAAAAGTTTATAGATTTACTACCAGACCTTACTGATCTCCAGGTCAATTATTAGAAATGGGAAACTTTCCCAATCAGTGCAATATAAGTATTTTAAGGTATTTGGGAACAACTTATTAAGAGTCGGTCATTAATGAGTTATATACTCACTTTGGGGCTGTTTCTACCAAATTCTATCAATTCCTACAAAATTAACACAATAAATGACTAAAAAGACGACTATGTGTGATGGGTCCCTGGTCTTTCAGGACTGGGAGAAGCAGAGAAGTGGAACTGAAGGAACATGAGCCATGGAACGGCCTTTCGAATGAGGACCACGGCAACCATCTCTTCGAACCCCTCTACCTTCCGGATAAGGAGATGGGCTTAGAGAAGCAGGCTGTCCTGCCCAAGGCGAGTGGCCTTAATGCTAATGTGGGCACAGAAGCTGCCAAACCAGGCTCTAGTGTTACAACGCACAGGCGTGTCTGGAGCTCTGGGCGTGTTCCCGGGGTCTCCCACCCGGGGTGGGGCGGTTAGGATGGCTAGACCCTCAGAGAGTGGAAGAGGGACTTTGTAAGCAATAGTTCAGGAGATCTGGTGGACAATTTTACGTCGTAGAATATATCTTCTCAGTTTACGTAATGTTTTGTCAAATATGTACGTTAGTTTTTAACATTTTTTAACATTTTATAGCACAGGCTACATATACCAACTAAGAAATTTTCCTGGGAGCTAAACAGGTAACTGCTGTACTAGAAAAGCCCTAACATCCAATTTGGACAGAGCCATGTTATTCACCAGACCACAGAATAATAATTACCATTATTTTTCTTCCTTTGAACTCCAGAATAATACATGATCGTCCTACTTCTTGGCCAGCTCCCCTGTAAACATTCAAGGGGAGAAATAAAAACAATCACAATCAAGCCCAACGAATTCCAACTTTTTTACAACGTACACTGTGCCCAGCTGATGACATCTCACTGAGGCAGGTGAGAGTCCCACAAAGTCATAAGGGTAGGTAAGGACAGCGCCGGGTGGGGGAGAGCCGGGAGAGAGGGGCGGTGGCCTCCGGGAGCGCAGGGACTGCGCAGCTGTTAAAATTGTGAGAAGGTGGAACAGACTCAAGAAGCCCAAAGGCTAAAGTTCACCCCTGAATGTGAGGGTTATGATGCTGCACTGAGAATGCAGCTAGCAGGAACACAGATCATTTAACAATACTTTTAGAATCAGCACTTAAGTATAAACCTGTAAGCACTGCAACATTCTTTCACTTAAGATCATGATAGGCATTTACCAATGAGGTTAAACTGACATAACTTATTACACCTGTGAACCTCAGGCCCCTTCCTTTCACCTTGTTATTTCAGTATATTTGATGCTGTTATAGAACAAAACCCTGAAACTTACTCCAGCCCTTCATCCCCCACCCCTCACACTCCTTGGCCGTTTTGCAGCCCTCCCGCTAGGAATCTGCGTCATCCTAACACTCCTCTTCGCTCCCTTCCTTCCCCACATCTCATCGTTATACAGTCGTACAGGTCCCACTTCCTTATCTCTCAAACCTATTTCTCTCCAATGTCTGCTGCTCATCCCATTCCACTCGTTCCAGCTCTTATTGCTTACCACTTGGGTTACCTGGATTTCAACCTAGATTCCCACCACTTACCCCATCCGGTTATGTAACTGCTACATGGCTGCCAGGAGCAGTCTTCAACCTTCCCCAAACCTCATTCCCACCGGATCCTCACCCTGCTTAAAATCCCTATAACTGATGATAAAGGCCAAACTCCTTAGGAGGAGTACAAGACCCTTCATAAGATGGGCCCTGCTAGCCTCCCCGTCTCATCTGCTGATCTTTCATCCATGGCCAGGAGGAAAGTGGCCCCAAACTGCGACCACTCTCATTTCCCCGTGCGCCACTTCCTGTGGCTGGGGCACCCTTTACCTGCACGCAGTCCCTACTCCTTCTTTAAGGCTCAGCTCGAGCCTCTCCCAGGATGCTGAGAAGGCACCCTCGCCCCGTTCCCATGCTCCATGGCGCTCGGCTGCCATGCCTGCTGTAGCTATAACAGTGACCATGCGCTCAGTGACTCCGCGCGACATTATTCCCGCCGAGGAAGCAACAGGGTTCGGGTTTCAGGGCTGACCGCAGAGCCACGGTCTCCCGTGGTCCCAAACCAGCTCGCCGGTACTTTTCTATTTCGCGCTGCAATTCCCTCCAAAAGGGTGACTTCGGGGACCTTGGCCCGCTCGCTCATCTGTACCCCCAGTGCCCAGTGGGGCGCCTGGCAGCAGGCAGGGAGCACACGAGGAGCCGCAGGTGTGCCCGAGCGGGTGAGACTTGTATTATTTCCCCACGACGCGCTCAACAAGTCCGCGTGGATACATGTTAAGTAGATACTTTCAGCCTTTTGAAAAATGCATGCACCCGAGTTGTGCTCACAGCTAACAGGACACACGTTTGCGGATTCAAACTGCCTCCCTGCAGCGTAAGGTCTCCGCATCCCCGCCTCCCTCTCCAAGCAGCGCTCCAGGTCAGCCCGGCGCTTCTGCACGGAAGACCGGCCGCTCAGGGACACCCGGGGCTGCTTCTGTCCCCGCACCCCCGCTTCTCCTCCACTCCGCTCTCCACCCCCCCCTCATCCCCCGGGGTCTGAGCTCCGCGCGGGACGCAGGCCAAATCCCGAATCATCCCCCTCTCTCGCGTTTGGCAACTGTCAGGTCCTGGAGGTCCTAAGAAGCAGACTGCGTTCCGCCTCGCACCGCCACAGCCCTACCCGGTCCCCACCTCGGCCCGCCAGCGGCGGCAGCACCAGTCCCTCAGGGGTTGCCACCCCCCCGCGTGTATGACAGCGCCCAGCGCCCCGATAGGCCACCCCCCCGACCCCCAGTTCCAACACTCCCCCCTAAGATGGGAGAAAAGCACGATCCCATTCCACCCAGCAGGCCCCTCCCGACCTACGTTCTCCCAGCCCCGGGGCCGACCGCCGCCGCCAGCTCGAGTTGGGGGACGGAGGCGGCCAGCCATCCCGTTACCCTCCCGCCTCTCGCTGGTCCCTTACAGGGGCCGGATCAGCAGCTGGTCGCTCTCCTCCGCAGGGATCGCAGACATCGCGCAAGTCCGACGGCGAAGCCGAGCTGAGGAACAGGTCGCGGGAGCCTTTCTACATCGGAAGCAGAGCCACGGGGAACAAGGTAGGAAGAACCCCAACCACGGAGAGCACAACTTCCGGCGCTCCGGCGCCCGCGGTGCTAGGCTCCTCCCCTCGACTTCCGGCCGGAGATCCCGCCTCGCGAGGTCCTCCCCACTCGGAGTCCAGAGACCTGGGGCGGGGCCAGGAGTGCGCCTGCGCGCGGTCTCGGAGGCGGGCCTGGTGGGCGGGGCCAGGGGACCGGAAAAGCTGGCGCTGGAATCGGGAGCGGGAGTGGCTGCCCCCGCGCTGGCGGCGAGGCGGTGGGTGTCCGACCGCAGACGACCCCAGGGATGGGCCAGCGGCTGTGAGGTGAGGGCCGGGCCCTCGCCGCGCCCGCGCCTGGGCGGAGCCCGGCCGGGACCGCGGGCCCCGAGGGCGGCCGGCGACGGGGCGGATGGGTGAGGCCGCGCTGTCTGCGGGGACCCGCCCTCCCTGGTCGGGAATCCAGGCCCCGAGGCGGCGCGTGACGGGCGGCGGAGCCGGGAAGCGGGCCGGGGCCTGCGGGAGGATGCGGTGGCCGGGATGACCCATTCTTGTCTGGGCGGGGACCGCAGCTCCTGTGGCCACGGTGTCGCGCGTGGCTGGGCCGCGTGGGAGGGGCGCCGGGAGTGGGTGGAAGCGCCGCGGGGCTGCCCTCCGTGTCCGGCTTTGCTTTGTGGGGCGCGAGGCGCACCCGCTTTCCGCGCTGGCGCTCGTCGGTGTCTCTGCCGCTCAGGCCCGGGGAGGCGCCTGCCTTGTTCGCCGTCTGTCGTCCTGCGCCCCGGCGAGGAGCGCGGGAGGCGGCTGGGGGCCCAGGCTTGGCCCCGCCCACCGGGGTGGTCCTGGGGCCGCGTTTAAAGGGGCTGCACCCGGCCGCCTGGATGGGCACCCCCACCGCCTGGATGGGCACCCCCGCTGCCTGGATGGGCACCCGCACTGTCTCCTGGGCCCCGCCCTGCCGCTTGCAGGACGCGCACTGAGTCGCAGTGTCTGGAATTGGTATTTAGAGAATTAAATGGCATCTGTCCGTTGCTTCTGAAAACAGTGCCTATAGGGACGACACCTGCAGGGATGACAAGGTGTCTGTCCCTTTGGGGTTAGATTTTTAGAATTTAAAAAGAAACAGTGGAAATAAGGATAGCACCCACATTGTGAGCTCCAACATTCCCCAGGTGAGGGGAAGGGATAGTGGTTATGCCTGTTCTGCATGAAGTGGTTTAAAGCTGCTCTTCTTGGTATAACGGGACATTTGTTTTCCTAGGGGAGCGCCTGGACCACGCTGTAGTGACAATGTTTCGGAAAGGCAAAAAGCGGCACAGTAGTAGCAGCTCCCAAAGTAGCGAGATCAGTACTAAGAGCAAGGTAGGGGCCGGCGCTGCGGATTCAGTCTCTGTGAGGTGCATGGAGGATGCTAACCTGGCAGGCCTGCCCCCGTAGCCTTCGAACTAGGGGTGTTCTAACATTCACTTTTTTTTTTTTTTTTTTTGCAGTAGAGACACATTCTGTGCTTGATTTCATTTGGTCTCGGTAGACTTTCTGAAATCCCTAAATCCACTAACCGAGGTGGGACAGGACCCGTAAATGATCTTGTAGAAACAAACACCGCTTTTTAAATTTTTTTTTAATGTGATAGAAATTGCATGCAATTAAGGGGCTGCCCTCCTTGAATCGTAGGGTTCGTGGTGTGTGCCTGTAGCTGTGGTTCCGCACTAACGCGTATGCTGCTTTGTACTTTGCTTGGCAGTGTTGCTGGGTTTCCTTTGCAGCTCACATTGGTGTTCTGGCCGCCAGCCTGCGTGTGCACTGGTGCAGGCTGGGATTTTCCGGAAGCGCCGGGGTGGGGCCCAGGAGCCCTGCTCGGATGGGAGGTCTGGGGTATCGACGAGGCGTGACCCTGGGTAAATCGCTGCACCTCTCCGGTCGCTGCTCACTTCTTCAGCAGGGAGCCCCGCCTGCCTTCCGCACAGGGTGCTCCGCGGGCCAGTGGAGATAAGGGGACAGCCAGGTGTAGATTTTCACATACGAGATAAGTATCAGGTGTCTTGTAAGGAGGCAGAGGCACTGGCTCTGATTGAGGTCGGCCGTGGGGACAGCGCATTTACCCGGGACTGTCACGGGAGAGCAGTTGGGGTTATGTATTCATTCAGCTATGATACATCGTTTGAGTGTTCGGTAGAGAACTTGAGAGAAGATAGTGCCTCTAATTATGATTAAATGCTGGTTTGCTTCTAATTTCTCAGTCTGTGGACTCCAGCCTCGGGGGCCTTTCTCGGTCCAGCACGGTGGCCAGCCTGGACACGGACTCCACCAAAAGCTCAGGTACAGGAAGGGCGGGGTCATGCGTCCTCTGAGGCTCGCACTGTTTCACCTGGTGGAACGAGTTCTGGTGTGTTTGGGTTTCTTTCTCTCCTCTGCCATTTTTGACAAGAGTTTAGAAACGGCCCAAGATCTGGTGGGATGAGGGTTGGGGGGTGTGTGTGAGGTGGTTAGTGAAAGCCGTTGGCCGGGGCAGGTGCCAAACTGCTCTTAACGGTCCTAGAGCAAAGCATGCGGAGCACATGGTGGTGACTGTTGGGAAGTTTCACAATCGCTTTCTAAGAAACGGGGCGGCAGCGCATGGATTCCATTGTTTATGGGTTTAGGACAAACGCCCTGCTGACGAGGAGGATTAAGGAGCCGTTTGCCCAGAAGACGCCAGCTTGTCAGCCCCAGGAGCACATGTGATTAAGTGTAGCATCTCTCAGACACTTGAAGACATGTATGCAGGCACCGCAATGAGCAGCTCTTTAGAAATTAAAAGACGGCTTCTAACTACCAACAGCTAGTATCTACTTGGAAATACACCATGTTCATCTGTCCAAACTCCTCCCACTGTTCCTTTCAGGATCATAGACTTGTCCATCTGTAAAAGTTGGGAGCGGGGAGAGAATAAACATAGGATGTAAAATAGAATATACGGTAGAAGCACAAGGTCTATTACCTTCCAGATGCCTTTAAAATATTAGAAATGTGGCTGGGCATCTTTCTTACGTGAACATCACCTACAAGTCATCACACAGTATTTATTTCCTTACTGTGGCAGCAGCATACACATTTTGGTGATTTTGTATTGACTACGTTTTATAGCTCGCACACTTCTTCATCCTTTACCATCGGTTAAGGGACTTCCTGTCCAGCATTATTCCTTCTGCATTAAAAACAAATTGCCTTTTCTGGTTCAATGGTAGAGATAGATCAGGTTTCCTGAATCAGAAAAGCAAGTTCATCATTAACATGGTAAAGAGGGAGAAGCAGCCAGAAAATAATTGTGTCATTATGCATCAGAAAGGGACTCAATCATTATCTAGTTGACACCTTTCTCGTTTGTTTGAAATGAAAGACATTAATTAATTTACTCCTATTTAGATTTTCATATTTAGCAATATTGTAACTGAGGAAGAGGTTAGTGAGATTTTAAGTTTTTTTCCAATCTATAAAAAAACTCTATGTCAGGAAATTTATTTTTGTTAGTCCGTTTCTTATTTGGGCAGGGATTGAGGATAGGAAAGTCTTCCGCTGAATTTTCGCTCACCTTTAGGACAAAGCAACAACAACTCAGACGCCTGTGCGGAATTCCGAATAAGATACGTCGGTGCCATTGAGAAGCTGAAAGTCTCCGAAGGAAAACGTCTGGAAGGGCCCCTGGACCTGATCAATTACATAGACGTTGCCCAGGTAAAGACAACAATGTTCCAGTTTATACGATTCTAGAGAGTAAACTCTGGCGTTGGAGAAACACATGGCTTGTCCCCAAGCCTGGCTACCTCACGGTTACAATGTGGGTGAAGGAGGCACAGGTGTCCTGGGGAACAGCCGTTCCTTCCCACAAACAGGACTTTTTACTTTTTCTGGGGCCGACGCACCTCCTTGTTTCAGTGAGGCACGGAGCCGTGGCTGGTGACATGCCACAGGCTTGTCTGTAGAGCCGCCTGCACCTTCCTGGATCTCCGCCCAACTCGTGTTAGCTCCTCGATAATCTTCAGCAGCGACCTAGCGTACCTACTTATTCCTGCCGTTTCCGTAAGAATTGAGGCCCAGGAGGTGGAAGAGGGAAGTGTGTGTCTGCTCCCTAACGGGGCTATCGGACCAGGGAAGGTTCCCTATCAGGCCACAGTGCCGGTGACCTGAGAACCTCTGTTCTCCGAAGCCATGGCCAAGGGGTCATTGTTTCATATCCTCAGGAGTCTCATCGGTGAGGAAATCGCCCATCAAACTGGCCATGTAACAGACAGAGCCTTTGGTAGTCGGGGCTACCACGGTTAGTGTCCCAGGTTTAGTTTGGAATATAGTGGTTCCTACAGCTCGCAAACTAACATCCCTGTTACACTGAGAGATTGCTAGTGTTTCCCCCAGACCACACTAGGCTTCTTTTCCTTCCGACAGGGACTGCTCATTCCTCCTGTCACCGGAGAAATGGGCTTGTCCCAGTCACTGGCAGTAACATTACGGTTATCCCGTCCTTCGATTCCTGGAACTGCCTTAAACTGTGAGGAATGACTGGCGGGGGGTCCCCGCAGCATTGTGAGCACCCCAGAACTGAGGCAAGTGGGCATTGCTCCTTTACCACAGTGGCTTCGATGTAGGCAAAAGGTCCCCTGAAACATTTAGTCGGAGCATCTACTGATTGCCAGCTGGACCTGATGTTAGAGAAGACAAGTTAGGTCGCATTCTCGTGTAGGAGAGAGAACCCGTCAGTCGGAGAGCTCACACTGCTAATGGATAGGCTGGAGGGCAAGTAACTGTCCATCAAGCACTGGTTCCTCACCCAAACCCTGGGGCATGGGGAGCGCCGGGCAGAGCGCTATCCCGTGGCTGTGAAAGTTGGTTCCTGCGGCGTGTTCCCTGACCGAGTGCTGACATGAGTGTGAACTATTTCTTCTTCTAAGTGAGCCACTAACCCTCAGCCGGATCGGAGAGGGGTCGGAGGTTGTAATGAGGCTTAATCCCCGCGGGGAGAGAAAAGGCCCTGGAGTGCATGGGTCTGAATTTTGCTCAGATTTGTTGGCTGTAAAAAAAAAGGGGGGGGGGCAGGGGGTTTTCTGCCTCTTTGGAGAGACATTCTTGCTGCGCCGCTGTGTGCGCTGTGTTCTTTTAAAGAGCTTGGGGTCTGTGAGCCAGGTCCTAAAGCGGGTTTAAGGTCACGGTTTTGAGTGTGCGCCCGTCCCTGCTTTTACCTACAGCAAGATGGGAAGCTGCCTTTCGTTCCCCTGGAGGAAGAAGTGATTATGGGCGTTTCCAAGTACGGCATCAAAGTATCCACACCCGATCAGTATGTAAGTGATCAGGAAGGGTGTCTGGGACGTGGGGGGTTCAGGACCACTTGCCGCTGGCCTGCTCCTGTCTGCAGAGCCGGGGGTTTGGCACGTGCCTGGCCTCTGGTCTGAAAAGCCGCCCGTTTCCTAGGGTGGGTGGAGGGAGCTTCCCTTGGGCGCTCCTGTGTGGTGGGGCCCACGCCAGCACCTCTGCTGCCCACAGGCCTGTGAACTTGGAACCCCACCCCCTGCCAGTTCAGGAGGGCCACCAGCTGGGGGCTGGGCGGGGAGGACTGAGTGGTGAACTTGGGTCGCCTGACTCCTGTCTTTCTGGAGTCTGAGGAGCCAGGGGTAACCCGGGGGCACACTGCCCATGGCTGAGCAACTGGGACGCCCTTTGTGTTTCCAAGCCTCACAGAAAACTTGTGCAGGGGAAAGGGTGTCCTTAGGGATGGAGATGCGGGTGCCATCACCGTCTCTCTCCTCCCGCTGCAGGACGTGCTGCACAGGCACGCCCTCTACCTGATCATCCGGATGGTGTGCTACGACGACGGCCTGGGGGCGGGGAAAAGCCTGCTGGCGCTGAAGACCACCGATGCCAGCAACGAGGAGGTCAGCCTGTGGGTGTACCAGTGCAGCAGCCTGGTGAGGCTCCGTCTCCGTGGTTCTCTCTCACTCGCCAGAGTCGAAAAACCAGAGGCTGCGAGATCTCTCCACGTGTCTGACCCCGGCATAACGTGCACACGTGGCCGTCAGCCCGCTGTCCGGGCCTCCTGCAGGGGACCGTGTGCAGGCTCAGAGGTTCAGGGTGAACACACAGCAGATGGGGGGAGGGGGTCCTCTGGGGCAGGGGCCCTGCTTTTCCTGGCGTGTCCTTCCTGGCTGGCAGTGGTCCAAGCCGGCAATGTCACGTGTAGGGTGAGAAGTGTAAGGGGCAGGTTCATACCTGTGCTGGTCAAGTGAAGTTCAGGGGCAGATTGTGAACTTCCTGTGCCTTTCGCTCATGTAGGAACAAGCACAGGCCATCTGCAAAGTCCTGTCCACCGCCTTTGACTCCGTGCTGACGGCTGAGAAGGCGTGAGTCTGCCAAGCGGGTCGGCGTCGCGGGAGGAAGATCGGCTGTTTTCTACTGGCTTTCAATCTGCAGTGCTGACCTAGCATGAAAGTATGAAGTGACCCCTTGTTCTAGATGTTCTGGGAAGAAAATGCAACGTATAAAACATCGCCATTTGTTTTTCTATTAAGATGTGTCTTATTAACAGTGAGTTAACTCAGCGAAGTTACGATTGGGACTAAGAAAGAAACCTCATTTGTTGCTTTTAAACACAAATGAGCTTCACCCCTTAAGGGTCCCGGAGGTGCACTCAGTGAGCAATAAAGGTCGAGAACCTTCAGAGGGAGCCCAAGGCCGCTGCTCTGGCCTCCCCAGGGCCGTGGTCTTTCTGGCTCAGCGCTCTGGCCTGGGGACGTGCCGCTGCCCACTCGACGCAGAAGGTAAAACTTTAAAAGTCTGTCGTCAGTCAGTCTCCACCTTTACCTGAGCGGACAGAACCGCACGTGTTAAAATAGCGACTAAAGATGCTCAGTACAGCAGGCTGGTTACTGAAGGGCTATTTCCCACACGCAGAGCTTGAAGGGTTAAAAACAAAACCAAGTCCATGTCCATTTAAAAGTATTTTATTTTTTCTAGTCAAATGACTAGTCACCAAGAAGAGTAGACTTATTAACATGCTCTAGGTATAAATCACCGCATCAAGGACAATGAAAATAAGGATTTAGGTTATACAATATGTACAGTTGCGCTGCAACTAGACCAAAGGAATCGAGTGGATGAATCGAGTATCATACATCTCCGAGCATTTCCAGCTGCATGTGGCAGTGCCCACCCTCAGCAGAGCACACGGGGTCTGCCCGTTTCCCAGGCCTCATGCCTGCAGTCAGACCTGACCAGGGCACACACAATGCCAGGATCCCGTAGCGAAGTTCATGGAACATAAACCTGGAATATAAATAGATATCTACAACGCTTTCCTTCCTCTCACTTTTTAAATTTATTTGCAGAGAGCAAATAAGTAGGAAAGGCTATCAGGGAAGTTGATTTCTCCTCTGACAAGAGTCCTATCCATTATGCACAATAGCACCACCGAACTGTAGCCTGGAAAGTACTTCCTGGATGTCTGTCCCAGGGAGCCCGGGACACCAGATTGGGAGTGGTATTCGAATGTTGATAGGATCAACTTTAATTCCCACACAGTGGTACCGAGGAGTCAGGCGGACTGTAAGAGTCAGATGTGGGGGGGGACTGTGTTAAAATAAGTGCGTGGTGCAAAAAACACATCTGTTCACTTCCTTAAATCTGCGAGAAAGTTAACTAAATGGAGGGTTCAAACAACAGAAGTTAACCATCAGTGAAGAGATGTAGTGCTTTAAAAAATAAGACTAATTATACAGCTAACACACTTTACCTGGAACTGTGACAGGCAAAGAGCAATGGGCATACATCATAAAACATTCCAGTTCTGTCTTCCTTTAGAATAGCAACGAAAAACAACACAATCACAAACAAAAGCAAACATCCTACACTTACAAGAAGGACCCGCGTGACAGGCTGCTCCGCTCCAAGGCGCCGCCGCCTCGCTCTCCTCTCCGAGCCTGCACTGCAGCTCGGGCCTGGGCTGGTGGTAAAAAGCCAGGTGGGCGTTGATGCCCGTTTCTCCTCAGAGAGCCGGCGTTTCCCACATCCTCCCATGAACACGCTCAATGACCAGGTAGAGGTATGACAGTCAAGTTCATCAAACTAATGAGTTGATTTTATCACATACAACCTAACCCCCTAGCCCCAGTAGTTTAAGTGTAAGAACGATATGACACTTAGAGTAAAACTGGGATGTCTGGGTGTGTTTCATTCCCGGGGCCTATGGGTTTCTGATATGCGCTTGGCTACCGACGAAGGAAGATTAAATGTCAAGACAGTGTAACCACCAGCCTACTGGCGTGTGATATAAATACCAGACACTAGACTGGGGCGTTCACGGGCGAGAAGAGAAGGCAGGCACACTCAGTGGGAAATGACGAGTGGGTGGCAACAGCGGGGCCCGCACCGGGCTACCTGTGCGATGGAGGGAGCTCAGGAAGGCCGTTTCCGAAACACCTATGGCATACAAGCGAGTGGGGAGAACCCCTTTGCAATCCATCGTCGTCAGTTTTTAACCGAACTCGGGAAACGCAGTGTCACCCACCCTGGAACCGAATGAACTGTTACTGTCGTGCGCCACGATCAGCTAGTGGCAGTTTTGTTAGGGAGGATGGATTGTTCACAACAGGTTACACACATGCAGAATACAAGGAGCGTCGCACCCTCACACATCAGGGTTGGAGTGTACAATGCTAGTGTCCGTTTCCAAGTTGCTTTAACTGAACACTGGGTGGCTTTCAAGGGAAATCTTAAGAAGGCATTTTTAAAAGGTCTCTAAAGGGGAACTGATAGCATGTAGCCTCCTAAACAACAAGTAGCTGGCGAGCACCGACGTCATTATCGGCCAAGGAGGCAGGCAGAATTTCCGGTCCTCGAATCGGGTTCTGCTAATTCTGTCGATTCGGGATCTTGACTGTGTAGTTAAAATCGCTTTTTAGCTCACCTTTTAGGCAATTCAGTTTTTCCTAATAAAAGTAGAGCCGTGTTTCATGAAAATCACAAATTATAAAAAACGATCCATTTGTAGATAGAAATTGCCTGTGAGTTTTAAAAACAGAACAGCGAGTGGCATTCGAGCAAGTGGGCCTACAGTTCACGAAACTGGTTTCCGGCAAGAGTGTGGGTACCAACAACGAACAGGAACATCGCTGCTAAGGGTGCTTGCTCAGCAGCGATTCAGTCCACAATAAAGTGCACAAAAGACACGGGAAACGCTCCTTTGCGGCTGGGGTCTCCATCGAGGTGGCCGATCTGAAAAGAACAAACGTTTGGGTGGTTATAAAACTTCCAACTGCTGGGAACTCGGAAGGGCATTGTACCATCTGGAGAAAAAAAATATTGTTCAGAAGAAACTCTGCTGAGAAGGAATCACTTGGGTAAGACGCCTAAACTGCTTTCCCTTCTCGCTGCCTCACATCCCAGAGCGCAGCCTACTTTCCGCAAGGCTCTCCCTTAGAGGGGCTCTGTCCGCGGAGCCCTCACCACCGCGTCCTGGCGGTCTTGGGCGCGACAGGCTTGCCATTTTTCCCCTTTAATGGATGAAGAAATCGAGTGTCAGGAGTGTGTGAACTGGCCCTGTATGAACGTAGCCACACATTCACGAAGACCAATAAATCCGTTCCTTCTTGCTCTGGGCAAATTACATAAGTTACACATCACGTCTGACCTCAACGATGTGAATTATGCAGGTAAATAAAAGTCGAAAAGAAAATCAGAATGTTTTCTGGGGGCGGGGCTGAGATCATGGTGCCCTTACTGTCTTTACACCTTTCTGCCTTTCCCCAGGGGCCCGCAGGCCTGAGGACACTCGGGCACGGAGGGCCTCACCTGGCAGACCTCGGGCCAGGTGGGCAGGGATTCAGCCCCACCCTCCCGGGCCCAGGCCCCCACTCACCCACCACTCCTGGTCCTCCTCCCCGTCCACGATGATCACGTCCCCCTCGGAGAACGTCAGCTCATCTGGGTTGTCGGCCACGCAGTTGTAGAGGGCTTTCACCCGCTTGGGCTTCAGCTTGGCCTGGGTGCAGAAGGGGAGGGTCAGAGGTCAGCGAGCAGGCGGCACCAGCTCCTGGGCAGAGACCTGGGAGCCACAGGTTTGTCAGGATGGGGTGGCTCAGCCCGGCCGGTGTGGCTCAATGGTAGAGCATCGACCCATGAACCAGAGGTCACAGCTCGATTCCCGGTTGGGGCATGTGCCCGGGATGCAGGAGGCAGCCCATCAATGATTCTCATCATTGATGTTTCTATCCCTCCCTCCCTCCCTCTCTGAAACCAATAAAAACATTTTTAAAAAGATGGGGCGGCTCAGGTGAGCTCAGGGGCCGGGGCACTTGGAGAGCCGGGAGCGTGGCAGCCGGGGCTGATGTGCGTGGGGTGTCCTGGAGCGTCAGGAGAGGGCTGAGCCCCCCGGCTGGGAGCTCTGGGTTGTGTCCTGCCCAGATCCAAAGACTGGGTACCCAGGAAGAAGCTGCCCACCCCCCAGCCAGGGGAAGACCTGCTTCTTCCGAGCCCTCGGGGCATAGCCCGCACCCCTTTGGCCGAGCAGGAGGGCTGACCGCTTACCGCCTGTGACTTCCTGGGCATGGGCGCGGGGGGCTGCAGGGCCGGGGTGTTGGACAGAGGACCCAGAGCTTCTGTTCCGGAGACGTCCGCTGCTGTAGGACAGAACGCGTCAGCTCGCAGTGTGCTCCCGCCCCAACCACGGGACAGACACACTACGAGAGCCAGTGTGGGGCCTGAAGGCAGGGCTCCCGAAATGTTCTCATCTGTTGAGGGAAAAGTCCCCCACGCCAAACAGCCTGTGACCTCCACGCACCCTGGGTAGGGTGTGCAGGTGTCACAGTGGGACAGACGGGCGCCTCCTGCAGACCAGCCGGTCCCCACCGGGGGCTCCTGGCCCTCCCACCCCCAGCAGCCGCAGGACCCAGGACGGAGCAGCCCGGGAGCATCGGAGGCTCCACGGAGGGCAGGGGGGCAGCCGCTGGGGCAGCCGGGCCCTCACACAGGGCTGCCACCCCGGACCCTGCCCCCACCCCCACTCACCAAGCGGAAGGAAAGCCCAGCCCCAAAAGAGAGCGTTACCAGGGCCTCGCGGCTGGCCTTTGCTGATCAGTGGGGTCGACTTGTCAGTCCTACAAAGAAGGGAAAACAGATCTGCTGACACCTGCGGCCTGGGGCCCGCACCTTCCCGCCACCTCACCCCACCCCCCTCATCGGCACCGTCTGCGCTCCAGGTGCACTGGGTGAGCTGATCTAATAAATTGTCTTTTAATTACAGCTGGCATGGCTCAGTGGTTGAGCGTTGACCTATGAACCAGGAGGTCACAGTTCGATTCCCGGTCAGGGCCCATCACCACCCAAGGCCACAGGTAGGGGAGCGGTTCTCGGGGCCGCAGACAGGAGTCTGTTCTGGATAAACGGTCTCTCTGGGCTGGCACTTTCATCTGAAAAGGTGGCCCCCAGTTCTGCCAACCCTCAGAATAAGGTCGCGTGACAGCGTCTGGGCTGAGGCGGGAGAGGAGCGCCATCAGGCTCCCTGTGAGCCTCGCTGCGCCCACCCGGGCCGGGCGCACACGGCGGGGCTGGGACCCACGGGCAGGGGCTGCGGGGGCAGGGACTGGGTCTGGCCAGTGGGCAGAGTTCTGCTCTGAGAGAACAAAAGGGAGAGGCCGGCGTATCCCCAGGATCAAGGTCGGGCTGTGGGGGGCTTCCTCCACCAGGAGGCTCCTGCAGTGGGCCCTCTAGGACAGTGGTCGGCAAACTCATCAGTCAACAGAGCTAAATATCAACAGCACAATGATTGAAATTTCTTTTGAGAGCCAAATTTTTTAAACTTAAACTATATAGGTAGGTACATTGTTATTAACTTCATTAGGGTCCTCCTAAGGCTTAGGAAGAGCCACACTCAAGGGGCCAAAGAGCCGCATGTGGCTCGAGAGCCGCAGTTTGCCAGCCACGGCTTTAGGAGCAGAGCCCATGAGGCAACAGGCGCAATGCCCTCCGCCTGCCCAGATGCCCTGGAGGTCCTTGGGCATCACCTGCTTTGCACCCTCCCCTACGAGAGGATTCCATGAAACAGGTGAAATCAGAGGAGACGCCCCAGCGAACAGGTGGAGGCCTCCTGAGGCCAGGGAAGCAGCAGAGGCCTCCTGCGGGGAGGAGAGAGCCGCACCCTGCCCTAACCCTGACCCTAACCCTGACCCTCAGCACGTGCTTGGTCTCTTAAAGAGCAGCAGCTGGGGAAGAGCAAACCTGAGAGTGTTACCAGGGAAGAGAGAAGACGCCCAGGCCCGCACACAGGAAGCAGAAGCCAGCCTGCGGCCTCTCGGCGAGTCTATGAGCACATCCTCCCGCCAGGACACACCTCGGTCCCCGACCAGGCCTCCTTTTCTAAGAACAGGAAGGCAAGGCCCCGCGGTTCTCTCGCAGAAAGAGCCGGCAAAGAACGCGGCACTGAAAGGCCCCGAGAGCGTTCTGGTGAATACATTTACTTCCACTTTCTCCCAAGGAATAGAATTAAAAAAAAACCCAAAACTAACAAAAAGAAAGGAAGAGGAACAGTCCTGGAAGCTGAGAGTGGAGGGAGGAGCCACCAGCAGCCTCGTTCCAAGGAAGGAGAAGGCTTGCAGTCAGGGAACATCGGCCCCGGCCCGGCAGTGTGTGCTTGAGCACCGGGCCTCGGGAGAGGGGGGGATCCGGGCAACAAACGCGGGAGGGGCCAATGCCCACTCCAGGACACTAGAAGGGCGCAGACAGAGCTGCACTTCCAGCCCCGGCCTCCAGGTGGGGCCACAGGACCAGCGCTGGTCAAAGGAGCTTGTGCATCAGCCCAGCCAAGGAGGTTAGCACACCTGCCTGTCTCTTTCCCTCAGAAGTAACCTGGGCCCCGGGGGTGAAGATGGCGCAGGCAGAGGTGGGACAGGTCTGGATCTCCAACTCCCCCCCGGCACTGCTGTACACGCAAGCACACGGACCCAACGTTGTCTGGGCAAAAAGTGAACTCTCACATGTTCAACCGCCGAGAGGCAGGGGCGGGTGCTAGAGCAGTTGGCGGACACACAGAGAGAGGAAAGGCCGGGGACCTGACATATGAAGAATACGAATCACTTGAAAGCTGAGAACAGAGCCCAGCCGGGGGCCTCAGTGGCTGGAGCACTGTCCCCATAGGCCCATGGTCTGCAAACCGCGGCTCGTGAGCCACATGCGGCTCTTTGGCCCCTTGAGTGTCGCTCTTCCACAAAATACCACGTGTGGGCACGCACGTACAGTGCGATTGAAACTTCGTGGCCCATGCGCAGAAGTCGGTATTTGGTGGAAGAGCCACACTCAAGGGGCTAAAGAGCCTCATGTGGCTCGAGAGCCGCGGTTTGCCGAGCTGCAGTTTGCCGACCACTGCCATAGGCCAAGGTTGTGGGTTCAATCTCTGGGCAGGGCACATACCAGAAGCAACCAATAAATGCACAAATAAGTGAAACAACAAACCAATGTTCCTCTCTGTCTCCAAAATCAATAAATTAGAACTGAGAACAGAAAAGAATAGAAGGCATTAAAAATAACCAACGAAATTTCTCAGAACTAAAGGGTATGGTTTGTGTGCCACACCCACCTGGTGGCACGCACGCCAACAGACACCCCCTGGGGTGCAGGGTGAGCGGGGAAGGTGTCCTCCTGGCGGGGGACAGGCACAGGGGAAACCCTGGCGGGGGAGTGGGAGCCCCGCAGGGTCCGGACGCCTGCCACGTGGGGCCCCGATCTCAGCAGGAGGAGGAGGTAGCACTAATACTGATCAAGAAAGTGGACACGCCAGCCAGACCTCTTGTTACAGAGAGGGAATACCGAGTCCAGAAAGGGAGGACATGAGAGTGAACCCTGGGGTACTGTTAGAGCACTGCCCCCCAGTTCTTCACGGGGAGCTGGGCTCTGATCACCCCACTCCCGACTGAGCCCCGCTCTGCCACTGAGTGACCAGCAACACAGGGCAGAAGGGATGCCCTGCCGTTCCCAGGGCCAGGCCTATCCCTTGGGACTCGTGCTCGGGCCCGGCCACCATGATGTGAGGAAGCCCTCGCCACACGGGGAGGCCGCGTACATGCGTGTAAGTATTCCAGCCCCCAGCCCCGGCTGGGGTCCCTGCTGTCAGCCCGCCCCACGACCAGCGGAGTGGAGCGCAGAGGCCTCCCACGATAATCCCGCCCGTGAGTTCCTCTCTGTAACCTTGTGCCTGAGCACAAACAGAACCCAGAGGCTGTGTGTCGTGAGGACTTGATTCCCCAAATTTACATCCGTCCTGTGGACGGAAGACAGACATCTGTGTGAAGTTCTTACAGTTTAAAAACCCTGGATAAATCATGTTCAAGACACCCGAAGCCTGGTGGGACCGGCACGTGTCCCGCCACCTCCCAGGTCACAGCAGCAGACACACGGGCTCTCACGCCTGCACGGAAATCTCCGCAGAAAAGCGCTGCGGCCACTTGGAGGCCCTCGGAATGCAAGAAGCGAGGCCGGGCCAGGTGGCCAGCCCGGGGGGCGGGAAGGGAGCGTACCCCGGAGCAGGCCTCCTCTGCGGGAGGCGGCTGGGCGGCTGCGGCTGTGGCAGGGGCGAGGCTGTGGTCTTGCCCGGCGGGGTCAGCTTGCTCTGCTGGCTCAGGGCTTCCAGGGCCCCGGGCATCTTTGCTGCGGGAGCGGGCGGCGTGGGAGCCAGGGGGTCTGCGGAGAGAGGAGGGGGCGGGGAGACACAGAGGGTCACGTCCAGGCGGCACACCCGGCCTTCCCGCGGGCCTCTTCCATCAGCGCTGCGTCGCTATTTCGCAAAGAAAAGCCCGTGTTCACTGCAGAGTCTCCATTCACAGTATCTCGGGGAGTCCTCCCCAGCCTCGACTTAGGGTTCAAACGTCCCTACGAGCCCGGGAGTGTTTCTCCGAGGGCATTCCCGGGGAGAAGGTGGACCGCGGAGGGTGAGGCCCGGTGATGCAGGAGGAGTTGGCCGAGAGGCTGCCTCTACCGTACTTACTGTTCATTCCTGGTTCCTCTGCTTCAAAGGGAAAGTCAAAGGCAGACTCTAGCGTCAGCCCACAGCCCCAGGACCCAGACCCAGGCAGACTGTGGGCTCCCGGTGCCTCCGGACCTGCCGTGTCCCCCCAGACCTTCTGGTGCCCCCGGACCTGCTGTGTCCCCCTGGCATGTGACTCAGGCGTGTCTGAGCTGGACACCCCCTCCCCCCCCAGGTTCTGGGAGACCCTTCCAGGCAGCCCTACTCAGCCGGCAGCCACACCCCTAGGCCCTGCCCGTGGCTGGCGGGCGTTCATTGTAACCGAGGCCAGTCCCAGGGAGACCGGGGAGGCTCCCAAGACCCGAGAGCAAACCAGGGGCCTAGCCCCCCTCCCACAGCCAGAGCCGAGCCCAGGCCCCCCTCCCATGGCCAGAGTCCAGCCCAGGCCCCCCTCCCATGGCCAGAGCCGAGCCCGGGCCGGCCGCCCTGACCCGGGAGACCTCCTGCTTTGCTGCTGGAGAAAACCCTCTCCCGGCCCCTCCCTCGGTTCTGGGACGGTCACCCACGTGCTGACATGGAGGAGAAACACACCAGAACCCAAATGATGGTGCCCAATACCGAGACCGGCCAAACGGCCAAAGGAATGAAGCCCTGGGCTGCTGTGGGGGGAGGGGGGGGGAGGTGATGCGGCCGAGATGCTCCGGGGGACAGAGGAGCCGGTGGGTGAGCCCTGGGGTGGGGGCTGACACACATGGGGGGTTACAGCTGGGAAGGAGGCGGCCACGGGGCTGGGGGACATGAAGAGCCACCGTCCCGCCACGCCCGCCCCACCCGGCCAGCGGACCGCCAAGCCCCGGCAGGAAGGAGAAAGGAGAACGTACTGGTCGACGTCACGCGGAGAGGGGGCAGCGGCGGGTGGACAGCGGGCGGATCGGACGAGGACCGCTGCCGGCTGACACCGTCCACACCCACAGAGTTTGTCTTCCACAGGGCGTTAGCGGAGGCGGCCTGGGCTGCACACCACACGCGCAACACGCGTCACACAGGCGCACACACGCGTCACACAGGCGCACACACACGACAAAAACAGAAACAGAACACGGCATTATTGACCCGCTCCCTCGCCCCACGGTCAGCGGGACCGTCTGGAGGAGCAGGGGGGCGGGTTTGTAAACACTCCTCCGGCCCGAGACAGCCACGGCCACACGCGATGGGGACGCAGCGGGAACGCCCAGCTGGCCATCGTGATCTTACAGATGCTAATTCTCAGACAGACTGATGTGGACAAGGCCTGGCCGGGGCGGGCACACCGACCCCTTCCCCGTGTTGGAGGCGGCCTCCACGTGGGCCCGGCATGGACCAGAGGGAGAACGGGGAGACCCTCTGGGGGCCAGCAGGGGTGAAGTGCAATCATTAGAGAAGAAATGAAGCAGCCACCAGAATCACACACACAAAGGGAAGAAAACCCCTAAACCCTCATTCTGAGACGTTAGGAAAGCAGGAGAGAAAGACGGACAGCTGTCCACCCCCTTCTCCAGCCCGCAGAGCGAATAGCAGAGCGAATACCGTCTTCCCCGCAGGACGCACACCTCGGAGAAGCCAACAAGGGGCGAGATGACGGTTTAACGCAGGTGCCCCCGTGGGAGACGCCCCCAGGGACCCAACCCAGGCTGCGCTCAGCTGCCCCGGCGCCCCCAGCATCGGGGAGGGTGACGGGGGGGAGGGAGAGGGGACGAGGCAGCTGTGGGACAATCTCCCGTCGAGCGTGGGGAGGACCCTGCCTGGGTGCGGGCAAGGGGGGCTCTGCCAGGGAGGGGAGCTGTTTCGGGGCCTGCCTGGCGCGGGCCGGTCTCCGCCTGGTGGGTCTTCCCCTGAGGGTCTGACTCAGTGACCGGGACAAGCTCAGCAGCCTCCTCTGGGCCCCCCGCGCTGTGTGTGTGTGTGTGTGGGGGGGGGGTCTGAGACCCCAGGCAGCAGGAGAGGTGGCCCAGCCACACGGGAGCACAGACCCGGTGATGGCCCTGCCAGCCCCTCCTCGGCCCAGGTTGCCACCTCCACCACACGCCCCTCCCAGGGAGCAGTGACCACACGAACGAATCTGGGGCTTTCTGTGACCCCCGCGCCCAGGGCAGCCGCAGAGCCTGGACACGATGCCCCAAGGCTCCTGCCCCTCCCTGGGGAGCCCCCAAATCCTGCCCCTCCCTGGAGAGCCCCCCAAGACCGCTGGCCACGGACCCGCCTTCAAGAGCAGCATGGCCAGCTGGGCTTTGTGCCGGGAAACTTGCTTAACTTTGGGGGGGCTCCATTTCCCACTGCCTCCCCCCAAAACAAAACAGCACCCGTTGAGTCACACTCGCCACGTTGCAACAGTGAGCACGTGGGTGTAGCGAGCTTTGGCACGTCAGGTGCTGGCGGGACCGAAGGGACAATTTTGTGTGTTTATGATTTTTACAAATTTACGATTGTTCCCAAGTTAGCCTCTTTTTATGCTTCATGTCCTGGGGATCAGAGAGATAAGGAATAGTCACAGGTGCCACACGCCGGCCATGTGCAGGCCGGGGGATGCGGGGGGGAGAGAAGCAAGAGGAGAACAGAGGCAGAGAAGGACCGAGGGCGGAAGCGAAGGGAAAGGGCCAGAAAGAAGGGCTGCAGGTGACCGCCCGCCGAGCAGCGCCTGGAGCTGGCCCACCGCTCAGCCTCCCTCGGGGGGAACCCGCACCCCCTCGCCCCACGGATGCCACACCTGTGCCCAGAACAAGGACCAGGTCAAGAGGCTCCACCGGGTGCGGCACCTACGGACGCGCGACGGCGTTTCCTTAGGAAGCAAACCCCCGAATGACACACGAAAGGCCCCAGGGAAGCAACCTACCCCGACGGGGCCCCGACATCCCCTGGTGGGCGGCCGAGCAGCGACGAACCTCCCAACCACACCCCAACCACGCTGCGTGCACGGCCGGCTCCCGGGCTCAGTACCTTTGGCCACGTTCCGTGGGGGCAGAGGGGGGGCGCCGGCGGTGCCGGGGGCCGCGGGCTGGCCGGGGGCCGGGCTGCCGCTCAGGACGGTTCCGTACGTCTCGTTCTGCACGATGCTGGGCGCGAAGCCCCTCTGCTTGTCCTTGGCCACCGACGCGGCGCTGGAGCCCAGCTGGTAGAAGCTGACCGGCCGGTCTTCCCGCCGACTGGGGCTGGGCTGCAGGGGGAGGGGGGGGGCAGGTGTGGGACGTGCGGACACACGACCTCCGGGCCACAGCGTCCATCTACTGGCGACCAGCTGGCCGACCCCACGGCTCACACCCAGCTGGGGTGTGCAGAGCTCAGCGGTTTTAAATTCCCACAAAGCCCACGGCTGTGTGAACCAACCGCGCCGCCACTCTCTGCTGGAAAAAGGGGGGGTGGGCGCGTGTCTGGGCTCCAAGCCACCAGGGCCCTGCCTATCGGAATTGTACTCGGGTGACGCCACCGGCGGGGCCACTGCCCACGGGGGGGCGGGGAGCTGTGGCCGATGAAGAGGCCCTCACCTGGGGTAGGTGTTTCACACCTGCTGTTTGACGGTAGGAGGGTAGGAAACCGGTCTGACCCTGCTTCATCGCTAACTCACTAGAAGGACTTCTTACTCTGAGTCAGTAAGGCCCTAGCCGGCTGCTCAGTGGTTAGAGCATCAGCCCTCGGACAGAAGGATCGAGGGTTTGAATCGGGTCAGGAGCATCTACCTCGGTTGCAGGCTCGATCCCCAGCCCTGGTCGGGGCACGTGCAGGAGGCAACCAATCGATGTCTCTCTCACATCCATGTTTCTCTCTCTGTGTCTCTCCCCCTCTCTTCGTCTCTAAAAAATTCAAGGGGGAAAAAATATCCTCAGGTGAGAATGAACAAAATATGGGTCAGCAAATATGGACGTGAAGTGCTCCGCCCACAAGGATGGGCCACTCGGTTCAGAAACGCCACGTGGGTAACTGGGCGTCCTCAGGACACACCTGGACGTCCGACAGGAGGACGAGCAAACCTGACAAGCCTCCCCGTCTCACGTTCCGAGGTCCCCCAGGGAGCGCCACGGGAAGGAACTAGGAGGCAAGAGCCCGCAGGCTGGCCCTGCGCTGGTCTCTAAACACTTGCTTCCCTGTGGCCAAGTCAACTCTCTCTCAGCGTCAATGGCCCCATCTGAGCAGGGAAAGCCTTGACCGCATGAGCACGAGGGGCCACTGCACGGGTTCAGTGACGGTTTCAGAGCTCCACTCGGTGACCGTGGCCGCGGGGGAACCTGGCTCCTGGTCCCATTATCCGCAGCGTGCGGATTCCTCTCCCCCGCTGGGATCCAAGCCCGCCTGTCTTCCCTTCACATCCAAAGGCGAGCAGCTGCCCGGGCCGCGGCCGCACACGTCCCTCTAATGAACGTGTGCAGCTGCCCGGGTGCGGAGATCACAGGGAGCGGAAAGCAAGCCCGACTCTCTCCTGCACACCAGCTCTCGCCCTAACGGCAGGCGGGAGCCTCAGGGCTCCAAAAGAAGCTCCTCAGGGAACTCGGGTTCACGCGCGGGCACGGACCTGCAGCTTCTCGTCCACGTCGTCATCGCTCTCATCCAGGTCCTCGGGCAGCAGCCGCCACTCATACTCCACGTGCACGTGGGAGTTGAACCTTCCAGACAAGGCTTGGGTCAGCTGAGGGGAGCAAAGGACTGTGGGTGACGCAGCTCAGCCCGGGACACGGACATCCCACCCACACGCTCAAGGGAGGAGGCAGGGAGCCCACTCACCCCCAGTTTGTGCAAGTCTCTGGGTCTCGGGTTACACCCGCTCCCTAATTCACAGATAACGCGAAACTCAAGCCCGTTAGGTTAGGTGCCCTGTGAACTGCGCGCAGGTCAGGGACGTGAGATCTGCAGAATGACGCGCAGCCTGGACGCAGCCCACCGCGTAAGGGAGCAAACTGGGCGTGTCCCTCAGGGGTAGCCCAGCCTTCCTCAACCGACAGGAGAGCTCAGCCCTGAGAAAATGACCGGACCGCCCTTCCCAGGGACACTCGGTGCCCTCAAGGCAGGCAGGCAGCTAGTCCCAGCTGCAGGGAGAAGTCATTCATTACATTCACCTGGTGTCTTGGGACAGTGGGGCTCCATGCTCGCCACAGCCACGGAGGCACTGTGTGGCCTCGGGTAAGTGACTTAACCCTTCTGTGCACACTCACCAGCTCCTCGCAGTGCTCGTGCCGCAGGCGCTTGGCGATGTCCAGCGGCGTCTCCCCAGACTCGTTAGCTACAAGGCGGGGCGACAAGAACAGGCGGAGGTCTGAGATGAGGACAATCAAAGGCACAGAGCAGCGGCCGAAGTTAAATCGAACACGACCGATGGAATCCGCAGCGCGTGTGCGCCAGCCGGGGCGGAACTTGTCTTATGATTGTATGGAGCTGACGCCATGTGTGGTCGCTGAGGTTTTACAAGGTTTGCACGGATCACGACCATCGAACCACGGAAGTAGCCAACTGACGGAAATCAACATGCCAACTCTCCGTCCCATGAAGCGGTTCCCCACCGTCCGCCAACCGGAGCCCTGTGGGTGGAGGCGGCAGCCGGTGTCACCTCCGCCTCCCCCGGCTGTCTGTCCACAAACGGGAAATTGTGGGCTTTCTCCGCAGGAACCCTCAGCCAACCAGGCTTGATTAAATTTTTAAAAAATATTTTTCCATCGATCTCAGAGAGGAAGGGAGAGGGAGAGAGATAGGAACATCAATGATGAGAGAGTGAGTCATGGATCAGCTGCCTCCTGCACGCCCCCGACTGGGGATCAGGCTGGCAACCAGGTGTGTGCCTTCCTTCTCTAGTCCTCAAAAGCATCTCCTGATGACCCATTGCTGCCAGGTGCCGCTGGACTAGCCTGGGCTGGACGTCAGGGTCCCTTGGTGGGGACACGGGTGTAACTGCTCTCCCTGAGCCAGCAGGGGCTGGGCTGACCCGAGGTGTGGGCTACGAACAGGAGGGTGAGAAGCCCCAAACCACGGCCAAGGCTGCCTCAGCCTCAGGGGCAGGGGCAGCGGCAGGGCCTCTTGCCTGCCCACACTGTCCCTGCGACGCCGGCCACTGATGGACAGTCTAGGACAGTGGTCGGCAAACTGCGGCTCTCGAGCCACATGCGGCTCTTTGGCCCCTTGAGTGTGGCTCTTCCACAAAATACCACATGCGGGTGCGCACGTACAGTGCGACTGAAACTTCGTGGCCCATGCGCAGAAGTCGGTATTTTGTGGAAGAGCCACACTGAAGGGGCCAAAGAGCCGCAGTTTGCCGACCACTGGTCTAGGAGGAAGGCTGCTCCTGACCCCGGGCGCAGCAGCCCTGCAGGACGTGCCGGGGACCCCTGCTGGACGGAGGGCAGGTCTGTGTCCTCAGCCCCAATGGGAGCCCAGTATCGTCCGACCGGCCCCGTGTCCCCGCGAGGACGCCGGCGGGAGGCAGCCGGCCGCTCACCGATCTCGATGGAGGCCTTGCCGCGCAGCAGCAGCTTCAGGCACTCGGCGTTGTCCGTCAGGCAGCAGTAGTGCAGGGCCGTGCTGCCCTTCCCCGTCTGTCTGTCCAGGTTCCCGCTGGCCGGCGACCGGGAGAGAGAGGGAGCAGTGAGCCCCGGGGATTGAGGGTGAGCGGGGAGGGTGACACTCACTCCGGCTGCAAGGCGGGGGGCCGGCTGTGAGCGGGGGTGCCCCGGCTTAGGCCCCCAGGGATGGCGGAGAGGCAACGAGGGAGCAGGCAGCCGGGCCGCTGCCCCTGGGCGGGCGCTGAGAGCCGCTGCCTTCCTGGGCCCCACACCACCAAGCCCTGCCGCCTGGCTCCCCAGTCAGTGCCGAGGCCGCGGGAAGCCACGCGGCGGCCCATCCTGTCCCACAGAAGGACGGGAGAGCATTCCCGCCTTACATGGGCTCTTCCGCAGAAAAGGCAAAAGTCACCTTCCAAAGGCCCGAGTCCCAAGGCTCCTCGGGGCCTGGCCTGAAGCAGGAGCGGGGACTGAGTGAATTTCCAAATTCTCCCAACGCACCCCCCCCCCCAAAGCACCCGTGTGCCTCGGACGCGGGACAAGCCGTGCGACCACTGTGGGGGCCACGGTCAGGCTGCTTCTCGGGCCTGGTGTCTCCCCAGGTCCCTGACACCAGGGCTGCAGCCTGCGGACCCCCCCAGGGGCCCTTCCTCTCGCTCCAGGTTCCCGCAGGGCCCACTGGCCCCCCCCCCCCCTGGGGCGCTGTTAACCGGGGTTTCCCATTTTTCAAATAAAAATTTCCTTTCTTTGGAAACCCAAAAAACCCCCCCCCTCCCAATAAGCGGGGCACCTTTGGTGAACCAAAAAT